GCGCATGTAGCTACTAGTTCTTACCAGGGAGTACTACTCGTAGTTGCACATGTCAGTGCACAAGGCACAGTCGAACCGGACTTCTTGTCAATCTTGACGCTTTCCTCTCTCTCGAACTGTGAAAAGTTTTATCAAGTGTGCATTTTGTTTCATTTCAAGTATCCTGGAATCATGGCTTTGTCACCAACTACCAGCTCCGGTATGCCTCCTGCTCCCAGTACTGCAGTAGCCCTGCTGGCGTTGTCTCGGCATCTGCGTCTATGGTGAGTTCCCCCCAGGGAGAGGGCAACTCAAAGTGTGCCAAATATTCGAGGGTCGACCTTACCATGGATCTCATTCTGCTGAGGCAGTGTAGGGCCCACCCTCAGCTATTCGTCCGCGGGTCTCCTGATATGCAAGGGATAGCGGAGGAGCTCGGCCGAGATCCGCCTTTTCAAGGGGTCTCCAAGAGAGATCCTATCGCCAATAGCCTGAATCGGATGAAGCATCCGCCGCTTCGCGTCATCCCCAAAGGCAATGAGAAACAACAGCAACTCCGTTCATTGCACATCTCAAACGCCAGTCCTCAACTGCTCAAGCTAAAAAAACTCGATTCGAAAATACTGGACTGCGCTACATGCTGAACCTCTTTTTCATTCGAATTTTCTCTCTGATTTTCTTTTTGCCATTCGAATAATCAAATCGAAAATTCGATTTGCTCATGCTCCGTAATAAAATAAATAAAATAATCATTTAGGGCGGAGCATTGTACACAAGAGAGAGATTGGAAGCTTTGTTACAACTCAGAGTTGTAACAATGCTTCCAATCTCTCTCTCTTGTGTTATGTATTCTTTATGACTGTATTCTTTTTTGTATTCTTTAATAAGGGGGCGGCCTACCCATAAATTTCATATGGCATTCAATTGACCGTAACTTTGGTGTTTCTCAATGGATTTGAGTGAAATTTTGACCACACACTCCTGCCACTATGCTAGCCCTCAGGACATGATTTACAAGTTCTTGCGCATCACTGACAGGCTTTCCGGGCCGGAAAAACTCAAATTTCCGGCATAGTGCCGCGGTGTGCGAGCCACCCAGGAGCCAAACAAATGCATTTACAATTTTTTTCACATTTTCGTGCCCATTCTGTCCGTGCGCGGGACCCAAACCTAAAACAAGTCCAGAAGCAGCCATGGGTGGTGGGGTAGGGCCCCTCAACGTGGCCCTGCAATCTGTCACAACGGAACGAGTGGGCGTTCTCTCACAGACTCCCACAGACCCAAGTCAATTTTTGAATTTTTTTAGGTTTAGCACGTGCTACGAGGTCGTACCTTTGATACAATATCCAGTGCTGGGACGTCCACAGCAAGCCATTTCCACAGCGCTGCACACAAATCCAGGATACCCTCAGAAACCGGCAAAGACTAACACTCATGTTCCGCTACTGCCTAGTACTGAATCCTACCTGACTTATTGACACGACTGAAACTTGCCAAAGTCACTAAATCAACGTCAACTACAATAATCAAGCCACATATCTGCAACGTCACGAGGGTGCTGGCAAAAGTCCTGCCGCCGTGCAGCCCAATACGTGGCTCAAAAACGTGATATTTTGGACTTGGAGCACAATACTGCACACTTTCGCGTGTTTCCATGATACGACAAGTTGCGCACGGTCTGCTCACATTCAAATACAGTGCTGCCAACAAATGACAGCGCGCAACAAAAAAATCTGTCCTTACAAGGGCACATTTTTCGGTCATAACTCTTGAACGGCTGGTCAGATCGGGACAAGATTTTCAGAGATTATGCAGCTGTTCATGCTCTTTCAACTGATGTAGCACTCGATATGAATTTACAAATTCGATTTTCAGGGATTTTACGACCAGGCTGCCCCCTTAACTGCGAATAAGAGAGTAATAAGAGTAATAATGAATAATCTACCTTCGAACAAGACGAGAAACCTGTCAGCAGTATAGGAATAAACGTCTACATGCGAACAAGACAGTAATATGAGTAATATGAAAACTCTAGTTGATTCAAATGGTGGTCACACCTGGCACAGTGGCAGTATGGCGGTAAATACATATCTTACATTGCAGCCTAGAGAGCGTGTGAGGGCAGTTATTCTAGCACATAGCTCTCCTTCTCACCACCACCAGCACACCATCAGTTCGCGCCTTGCGCCTAGTCGATGCATGGCTGGTGGTATCCGACAAAGCAGGCTGGCCCATACTGCCAGGTGTGTGTTTTACCAACAGTTGAATCAAGCATAAGTACTGCTGCATTGGTGTCTTCAACTGCATATCTCATGAATACCCTCTGCCTGCGAAAAAGACGAGAAACTAACTTGTCAGCAGTAAAGGAAACTTCTAGCTGCGAACAAGACAAGCAGACCTCCACCCGTAATCCGAGCATGCATTACAGTCTATGCACAGTTGAGTCACAGTGTACAGTGGATACATTTGTATACTGAGCTTGGTGTACGCCCACACAGTGTCATGTACTGAGCTTGATGAGCTTGATTCTACATTATGCGGCGCCAGACATTACTGCAATGTACGCCCACACGTCCCCCAGCTAGTACAAGGCAGTAAAGCTGATATCAAAATGCCATCAAACGTCCTGAAGACGTCGTTGGCAGAGCGACTTATCGTACTTGTAGTGAGTTTTAGGTACACCTTTCCATCTAAGATATTTCTAGTGGATCTCGCTAAGTGTGTATTGTGACACTAGTACTCACTCAGCTGAAGCACACTGTTACAGCCAGTTGGAAAAGAAATTAGAACTTCCTAGTCAAAGAGATAACAAACAGAACATACTCACTGCAGCTGTTCAGCAGTCCTTCAGTTCTTCCAGTGTCCAAGAACGTCCAGCCTATCCTTCATAAACCTGTACATGCACAGACAGAGGCACGAGCAGTTGCTGTTTCGTAACTCTGAGTTTCACGAACTGAATCGATCATCAGACGAAAATTTAACCAGTAATAGAAATTTAATGTACATACAGGTAGCGGCACTTGTCTTCCGCAATCTTGGAATACTCAAAATCTCCAATTGAACAACACGTGTGGCCTTTTTCTCCTTCTAGTATTGCCTCAAATTTCCACGGTTTCCTTTCCTAAAGAATAGCGTTGTAACTTGACTGTACTATTAGTGGCCTGTACGCTACAATACGCTGTTACATACATATAGACACAAAATTACCTGTGCGTCTTCTACAAAAGTCAAATAAATACATACAGCAGAGCTAACCTTTCTCAACGCGAAGAATGTAGTTATGGTGTCACGGGTACGTTTACAGCTACTATACTCCCAGCTGTAGCACGTATTGAGAGCTGATGTGCGGGGGGCCGGGGGGGGGGGGGGGGGGGAGCGCGGCGCCCACATATCTTCAACTTGAACTCTGAGCTTCATGCGGCGCTAGGCAATCATCAGACACTTGAACTGATACTCGGATCTACCCAGCAGTATGCTTATGATAGCACCCGCTACGACTGGTACGACCATGGTCGTACCACTTTTCGAAAAGCGTGGTCCGCCCGAAACGTGCAAAACCGTAATAAAAAAAATCAGGATCCATTGACGCATAAGCACCCTTCCAAAACCCCTCCTACGCCCCTGTTATCAACACATAGCCTTAGGGCCATACTAGTAAGCATAAACAAAGTCAGGGCTAAATCTGGTGACGTAAATTTTGGGGAAAAAGCTGGCTCAGGCCAACGTCACCGGATTTATCATTATTATTATTTGTAGTCAAGTGGTTTGCTTCATTGTCCGAAGAGTGCTCAATACCCATGTAGGGCAGAGCCTTGTACCCAAGAGAGAGATTGGAAGCTTTGTTACAACTCTATGTTTCACGTATTACTAAGATCATCAGGCAGGGGGGTTCCCTGATGATCGTAGTAATACTTGAAACTCAGAGTTGTAACAAAGCATCCAATCTCTCTCTTGTGTATTATTATTAAATTTTGTATTTGTCCGTTGGGACCATCTTGTACCAACGCGTATAGCCGATTGGTTTCTAGTCTTGTGTGCAAATCATGAGGTTTCATAACAAAACCTGCACTGGTAACAGGGAGTGTGTTTAGTGCGGCGTTGAACTGGTTACAGTGTACTCATTTGCTCGGTGTGAGCTGGCAATGCACTTCCATGTCCATGATCTAGTCCATGTAGCGAGTTTTAAGTACACGGTTACATGATGATGTTAGTTTGACAGCATGAAACAAGGTGGAGGACACTGTGTTCGCAAACAGTGACCTTACTAGAGCTACAACCATCCAGGGTTGGTAGAGCCCCGGTCCGTTGGGACCATCTGAACCATAATTATGCGTGTTGAACCCGGTTCTATAATACTACACTGCTGGCAACTGAAATCCGACCCCTGAGCGGTGCGCTCACATCGCAAAGACCCAACACGGGATGGTGAAACTAGGAAACAGAATAATAATCTGATATCGATACTAGTAATGTGCATCCACCGCTCAGGTGGTCGGATTTCAGTTGCCAGCGTGACTGTAGCATTAAGTAAGTAAATTATCGTATCCGTTCCCGAAGGGAACTCACGACGGCGGCTAACACCCAATAAACCCTAGCGGCAGATGCAGCGCCTTACGGTGGGGGTGAGTGGGCAAGTCTCACAACCACTGGCACAAGTGCCGAAAACGACCCCATTAGCTGCATCCATGTACCCCTTGTGCCTGGCCACAAGTTCCCAGTTGACTGTGGGTAGCAGCACGGCTGGAAAAACCGCTCCCAGGCAGGACTTGAACCAGGTACCTCTCGTATCTCAATCATGGTCTTTGACCAACCCACTGTGCCTGCCTGGTTGCATTGGGTTATAGAATACCACTACTACATGGTCTACCTTTGGGAAAGGGTTACATGTGACATGTCCAAAGTGATAACGAGTTGAGCAAGACGCACACAGGCTAGTACGGGTGGATCCGATTATATGTCCAGTGCAAGAATAGTAACTTTCATTTTTCACTCACAAAGCAACTGTTCAGTACATGGGGTAGTGGTCTACCAGAGCAATCACACTCACCACCGTAGTGGTTTTCAGAAATGAGAAGAAGCAAAAAACTACACTCGCAGCCACATACAATGTAATAGATAAATAGCCGAAAAACATCTAAATCCATCAAAGAACAGCCAGCAAGCGGGAGAAAAGGCCGTTAAATCAAGTGGAACAGCATGGCCAGTGGTGAGCATGGGTGACTGGGCAGCAGGGGAGCGCCTGAAAAACAATGACTCCCTACATTCCTAGCCGCGACCGCTCAACCGGGCTAGAGGAAAAACACGCCTTTCGGCCAAAAAACCTTTCTATTTCAATAATTCCTGCCCCGCTGCCAGTCGGACCCAAGAATAGAGACAGCAAGAAATGGTATGTAATGTCCAGTGTATGTCATAATCATAAGCCACACACATTGGCATAGAATATCAAGAAGAACAGCGGAAGACCCCCATGAAACCAGGGTGGGCGGGCACCTTTAACTACCAAGAGGAAAAACAAAGACCACGATGGCAGGTTCAATGGAGTTGCTCAGAACAAGAGAAAACGCCGTGAAAAAAACAAAAACGTTCACAGGCTCAGCTCTGTCGTTACATCAAGAGGATAGAACAGTAGCAATACAAGAAGTAGCAATGATACCGTATGTCCACTACACTGCATAATTTTTATTTCTATAGGAATGATTAGAAAGGACACCAGCTATTGACACCAGGAATGTAGCCATGGTTGGTCATGACCTGAACAAACTGGCTCACATCGCTTCCAAAGTAGGCAACAATGACTTGGTGGTGGGTGATGGCATCATCATTGGTACTATCACCTGGCAAGTGAGCCTCTAGTGGCTTCCGAAGAAAGCAGTGCGGGTATTGGAGTAGCTTGGGGAAGAAGCTGGAGAAGAATGCCACATTCACAACGAACACTCCCGAGTCATACTCTCCATCGTTGAACCTATCCATTGCTGCACCAACGTAGACTGCCAGTTCGTCATGGTCGTCAAATCGGGGTCCGGAGAAGTTTCCCCAAACTGTTCCTCTCCATGGTTTACTGTATCCATGGGACATGTGCGTTGTTGCTGCATCGATGACACACTCCTCGTCGCTTGTCTCCGCTGGGCACACGGACACATCAAAACCAGGCCTAACCAATCGCCTGGCAATACCAGCCAGTTGTCCTGGTGTGATGGATATTGGAATCAGTGGTGGTAGTGGTGGTAGTGGTGGTAGCGCGTCGTCTGGTGAACGAACAGCCAGTTGTCCTGGTGTGATGGATATTGGAATCAGTGCTGGTAGTGGTGGTAGTGGTGGTAGCGCGTCGTCTGGTGAACGAACAGCAATGTCACCGTTTACATGCCGTTCACACTGTTGGCCGTGTTGCTGGTCATTGACCATGCCGTGGCCATTGTTACCACTGGTACTCATCACATGTCTGCTTGGGTGATTGCGATGTCTGCTTGGGTGATTGCGATGTCGGCTTGGGTGATTGCGGCGCTTTGCTTGACCTGCGTGTGTCGTCCGACTGTTGGTCTCGAACATTGGTTGCTCATCGGCGTCGTCATCAGTGTATCTGTAGGCACCATTGTAATCGACGTCACCATGCGCCTCACAGTCGATATCATGTTGCTGGGCTTGAGAGTAACCAACGGATCTGCGCTCATGTTCCCAAACTGGCTGCCTGCTCTTGTTACTGCTAGCCACCTGGGACAAAGCAGAGGAAGGTAGGCTCTCCTGCATTTCAAAGTCATCACCATGGAGATGATGCTTTGGCATGGTGTCCGCATTGCTGGTGCCGTTGCAGAGTATAGATTTGCCCTTGGCCAGGATCTCCTTTGCTGTCAATTGATGTATGTTCTCTGGTGGTGTTGATTCCAGAATTGCTTTCCAGAGCTGAAACACCTTCACTGCATTGTCTTCCAAAGAAATATTGTTGAACACTCGGAAATGCGACAAAGCCGTCGGAACTAACATGTTGGGGTCTTGACTGCGGATCATTCGTGCTATCTTGTACCCGCGAATATACTCATAGGCGTTGCTTCGTGACAGGCCAACCTCAGTTTTCGTCCACGCGTGAAAACAGCTAGTGCTTAGAAGATGCTCGTCGTATAGAATGGAATGGAGGGCTTGTCCGACGGCATAGTACGAACAATGTCTATTCTGCTTGATGATGCCTTTCCAGTGCAACAGCCTATCACCGACAGTCTGCGCCGTTAGTGCCGGAGCTACTCCTCCTTCACTGCTTGCTGGCAATTGCGCCTCCAGTGATGGTGGTGAATCGCAATTGACCATCACGTCCATCACCACTTCACAAGGCGAGGTCGCCCCGTGATTCTGCACAACCTTTGCTGCGGTCGACATTCTCGCTTCAGACTCTCACCTTCGTTCTTTCCTGAAGTTCTGCTTGGAAAGTTGGATGTCGTTGAGGTGCCGGTTGAGTTTCCGTCAGGCTTTTGATCAATGCACCTGTAAACAAGACAAATATACCAGTATTAAGTCAAGAAAAGAGTACTATGTGAAAACCTCTAGCTGCGAACAAGACAATAAGCCTGTATTCAATGTAGAAAGTATTCTTGCCCATGAACAAGACCCGAAACTTGTATGCCAGCGATGAAATAGGAAAATTGATTGGATGTCGTTGAGATCCCGCTTGCGTTTCCGTCAGGTTTTTAATCAATGCACCTGTGCGTTTCGGTGTTACTGTGACAAGAAAGGAAATGACACTGATAGCACTGCAGTAGCTGATAAGCTGTAAAATCCAATCTTACCGATGTGTTTTGAGTTTCTTCTCGGAAGCGATCCCCTGGCACCTCCGATACGATCGATTCGATCCCGAGCAGCTTGTCTACCACTGGTAGTTATTTATTTATTGCTCTAGACGCGGCTACTTCACAAACCTTCTTATCTTCTTCTTCAATCTAGCCGAGATGAGCGCACCGTACAGCTCCACAAGAAAACAAGGTCCAACTGAAAGAACATTAGGCTTGACTGTGGTTTATGTACAGCTGCTGAAATACAGGCGAGCTTGTCCCATTGGTCACAGCCACGCTCGACACAGGGTGTATTCCGCTTTGAAACAATCATGATGTCCAGTGGTCGCGGGGGAGTTAGACCCACTTACATGTACGTTCTCTGCTGGATTGTGCACTTCAGTATACGATGTAAATAAAATATTATTATGTAATGTCGATTACAAAATCGTCATGTGTGCTTGTGGGCTTCTTCATTGCCGCTATGGGGCTGTTAAGTGATGACGTCACAGTACCTTCGATACGCATAGCAACGATCCCACTGGGGACAAACAAAAGTAGCGTCGTCTCCACCGAACCAGTTGTCAGTGGCAACATTATAGGAATCGTGTACATTTCTTCGTTTCTTCTTTGCTGTTTTCAGTGAGTGTTTGGTTTTCTCTTTGTCCTTGATCTCGACGGTGTTGTCGTGCTCATTACCTTACTGAGGCGTCTCTTATGACTGTAGCCAGTGTCACGGAGGATTTTATTGGCGTGACGAGGTAGAACGCCGAGATCGAGCGTGAGAAACGCTCTGCATTAGTAGCTCCTGTAGAATGTCTTCTGGGATGGCGTATCCATGGTCAACAAAGCCAAGGTGCAAGACAGCATAAGAGATCGTGTAAAGGATGTGAGCTCCAAAAGGTAAGCTCCTGAACAAGTGGAAAGATATGTGTATTTACAAACTCTCTCTTCATCCATCGATTGCCGCTATGCATTGCATTTTGTCTTCACAGATAATCTGGACAAATAAATTGTAACTGGAGAGTGCAATCGTGCTTGGGACCCATCCCAATGTCATCACATGGCTGTGGTGACTAGTGTATACCTGTACCTGGGAGAGTTTTTCCTCAACTGAGACGGAGTGTAGGTGGATGGATATGAGAAATGCGAAGATGTGGAGTAAGTTGTGTCGAAGAAATGTGTAATAAAATATAATTTACTTTACACTCAAACATACACTGTACATGTATGTACATGTACCATCATGATAATGATTCCATCTTCATATCTCCCCAACAGGTACGCCATACGCACCAAATACATGGTGTGTGTGCACACGCGCGCTTGCGGGCGCGTACATGCACACACTCTCATGCGTGGCAGAGTTGGCCGGATGAACAGACCACGCATTTGCACGAGGTGTCCGTTATGTCATTGGAATGCTGTACTTTATGACTTTATTCCAAAATAGTATGTCTTGCCCCTGCCAAATGGAGTTTGTGTCTATGCTCAGCGGGTATCGGGCCACGACGCCACACTGCAGTCAGCCCTGGAATTAAAATAGCACTTCATGGATTATTTTAACTACTTTCCTTTGCGTTTACATGTAGTAGTTTGTTGAGCCCGTGGTTTTATTTCTGTGTTCTGTTATGATTGGCCTCTGGAAATAATCGGAGTGGATGTCATTTTTGTCATATGTGTGTGCCTTGTGCAACAGGTTCAAGGCTAGATGCACTTCACATTCGGCGTGCGATCTCGGCGTCTGGGACCTGATAACGTCTTGGTTGGATGGGTAATCGAGGATGATACTACTCGGCACACCAATGTACATGTCAATGTAATTTTTTACTTTTTCAGAGTGGTGCTTTTCAGGCACAATCTTCCTCAGCCTACTCAAGCTCAACTGATGAGGGGTGAATTCCCCGAAACACTGTGTATTGAGCAGGGAGTGGTGCTTTCTTGCAGGTTTGCCAAGTGGAAGGTGCGACGTGCTCCTCGTGTGCTCTGGATGGCAGTCGTGAGTCAGTCAAGTGTCAAGTTCGGCAAGAAGCGTGTGTTCCTAGTTGGAACAATCAACTTCATGACTATTACCGCCGAAGTCGCAACTTCTAAGTTCTTTATGTATTGTTTTAGTAATGAATTCTTTACGTAGTCATGTGGTTTGCTTCACTGTCCGAAGAGTGCTCAATAATAATCACATGTCCTTTGCGTCTCTGTGTATTATCCACATGTCCTTTGCGTCTCTGTGTATTATCCACATGTCCTTTGCGTCTCTGTGTATTATCCACATGTTCTTTGCGTCTCTGTGTATTATCCACATGTCCTTTGCGTCTCTGTGTTTTTCACTGTTTTTATTTGACATTATCTTTCTTTACGGAGTTGTTGTTGCTGTTCATTTTGCTACTCTTTCTTTTTCCCTCCCCTTATTTTTATTGATCGCCGTGGTTGGCAATCACCCACTCTCTTAACATTGGCCGGTGTTTCCACCGAGTCTTGAGATGTTGTAATAAATAAATAATACGGAGCATCAGCAAATCGAATATTCGAGTGAAATTCGAGAATCGTCACGAAAAGCACTCAATCAGTCGAAACTAGGGCTTTGTTCGACTGAAAAATGCCCGCAAACAGAAAATACTTTTCGAATACTTTTCGAATGCTCCGCGCGTGCTCTAGTACACGGCGCACTACGACTACGAGTACTCATTCTAGTTGCGCATGTAGCTACTAGTTCTTACCAGGGAGTACTACTCGTAGTTGCACATGTCAGTGCACAAGGCACAGTCGAACCGGACTTCTTGTCAATCTTGACGCTTTCCTCTCTCTCGAACTGTGAAAAGTTTTATCAAGTGTGCATTTTGTTTCATTTCAAGTATCCTGGAATCATGGCTTTGTCACCAACTACCAGCTCCGGAATGCCTCCTGCTCCCAGTTGTGCAGTAGCCCTGCTGGCGTTGTCTCGGCATCTGCGTCTATGGTGAGTTCCCCCCAGGGAGAGGGCAACTCAAAGTGTGCCAAATATTCGAGGGTCGACCTTACCATGGATCTCATTCTGCTGAGGCAGTGTAGGGCCCACCCTCAGCTATTCGTCCGCGGGTCTCCTGATATGCAAGGGATAGCGGAGGAGCTCGGCCGAGATCCGCCTTTTCAAGGGGTCTCCAAGAGAGATCCTATCGCCAATAGCCTGAATCGGATGAAGCATCCGCCGCTTCGCGTCATCCCCAAAGGCAATGAGAAACAACAGCAACTCCGTTCATTGCACATCTCAAACGCCAGTCCTCAACTGCTCAAGCTAAAAAAACTCGATTCGAAAATACTGGACTGCGCTACATGCTGAACCTCTTTTTCATTCGAATTTTCTCTCTGATTTTCTTTTTGCCATTCGAATAATCAAATCGAAAATTCGATTTGCTCATGCTCCGTAATAAAATAAACGAGAGAGCTTGAAAGCTCAGGGCCCTGCGCTATGCTTTGTTGCCTAGCTCCTCGTGCATGTTGTTAGAACTGATGGAAATGCTTTTTCCTTTGATTAGCTACATCATTGTATTGCAAAAACGTTTCAATGAGATACTGAAGTAACGTCTTCTGCATAGCTATGGGACCGGCGCTGACTCTGCCGATCACGGGCGTTCTGGAGTCAACGAGATGTCTGTTCTGACGTTTCCTGGGACCGGCGCTGACTCTGCCGATCACGGGCGTTTATCTTCTTCTTATTATTATACTGAGGGCAACTAACATCCATTCTGATTGCATTTACTCGTCTCCCTACTTCGTATTTCTTTCCAGAAAATCTCCCCATACAGCAGGGAGTCGTTTACATAATATGACTCCCTGCTATACATCTACATGACTGTATAAACGTTATAATTATTATGCTATCCGCCTACATGCGATTCCCGGGCTGGTCGACAGGCGGCCCAGCCAGCCTGCTAGTGGGATCTCGGCCTCGCACACAAATCCACACAAAATGTTACTGCACTGAATGCATTCCCCCGATACACTTCGCATATATACTCATTCTCTTGATGGTACCGTACTCTTGATGGTACGGGACAGGTACGGGATAGCGCCAGGCATGTCGATAGCACAAACAAACAAATACTTTGAAGTATATTGTGGCCAGCTGTCTTTGCTGGTACGGTACAGTACGGGACAGATACGGGATAGCGCCAGGCGTGACACAAACAAACAAACAAACAAACAAACACCAAATTAAAGCTGTGTGGACCCTGGCTAGCGCCAGACGTTACTGAAGTAACGTCTTCTGCATAGCTACGGGAATTAAAGCTGTGTGGACCCTGGCTATTCCCTTCATGGTACCGTACTCTTGATGGTACGGGACAGGTACGGGATAGCGCCAGACATGTCGATCGCACAAACAAACAAAAATATTGTGGCCAGCTGTCTTTGCTGGTACCGTACAGTACGGGACAGATACGGGATAGCGCCAGGCGTGACACAAACAAACAAACACACAAACAAACACCAAATTAAAGCTGTGTGGACCCTGGCTAGCGCCAGACGTTACTGAAGTAACGTCTTCTGCATAGCTACGGGAATAAAATAATCATTTAGGGCGGAGCATTGTACACAAGAGAGAGATTGGAAGCTTTGTTACAACTCAGAGTTGTAACAATGCTTCCAATCTCTCTCTCTTGTGTTATGTATTCTTTATGACTGTATTCTTTTTTGTATTCTTTAATAAGGGGGCGGCCTACCCATAAATTTCATATGGCATTCAATTGACCGTAACTTTGGTGTTTCTCAATGGATTTGAGTGAAATTTTGACCACACACTCCTGCCACTATGCTAGCCCTCAGGACATGATTTACAAGTTCTTGCGCATCACTGACAGGCTTTCCGGGCCGGAAAAACTCAAATTTCCGGCATAGTGCCGCGGTGTGCGAGCCACCCAGGAGCCAAACAAATGCATTTACAAATTTTTTCACATTTTCGTGCCCATTCTGTCCGTGCGCGGGACCCAAACCTAAAACAAGTCCAGAAGCAGCGATGGGTAGTGGGGTAGGGCCCCTCAACGTGGCCCTGCAATCTGTCACAACGGAACGAGTGGGCGTTCTCTCACAGACTCCCACAGACCCAAGTCAATTTTTGAATTTTTTTAGGTTTAGCACGTGCTACGAGGTCGTACCTTTGATACAATATCCAGTGCTGGGACGTCCACAGCAAGCCATTTCCACAGCGCTGCACACAAATCCAGGATACCCTCAGAAACCGGCAAAGACTAAC